TTGAAGTTGATTTGGAATACCCTGAAGAATTAATTACATGAGCTGCATAATGATTATCCCTTAGCTGCAGAAAAAATGAAGGTAACAAAAGATAAGCTTTCACCATACTGTAAAAATATTCAGGAGAAGTTTGGAGTAACAATAGGGCAGGTAGCCAAATTAACCCCAACATTAACAGAAAAGAAGAATTATGTATTGTACGATAGGAATTTACAACTTTATCTATCACTAGGTCTGAAACTGAAAAAAGTCCATAGAGTATAAGAATTTGATCAGAGCCCATGGTTGAGATAATATATTGATTTTAATACACGGAAGCGTGCAAGTGCAAAAAATGCATTTGAAAAGGACTTTTTAAGCTTATGAATAATTCAGTATATGGCAAAACTTGTGAAAATTTAAGAAAGCGTGTTGATGTTAGATTGGTGATTGATCAAAATAAGTTATCAAAACTTGCAAGCAAGCCAACATATGTTAACAGTAAAATATTCACTAAGGACCTTATTGCTGTTCATAAAATAAAAGAAACACTAAAACTCGATAGACCAGCTTATGTTGGAATGTGCATTTTAGATCTTTCAAAGACACTTATGTATCATTTTCATTAATGGTGGGAGAGAGTTTATTCCTTGATTAACGCCAATATTAGCTGTCTAGTTTCTCAGAATTTGGACCGGAAGTAGGGAAAGCCCCTATGACTCATTGATCGAGAGACCCTGGGCTGGGGAAAAGGTTGTACCTCGGGGTAACTTATACGGAGTACTATCCAGACTAAGGTGTCCGCCATCTTGTTTTTATCGACAGAGAACATTTATTCAGTTTCTGCTGGACGGGAGAGGAACTTTTTAGCGTACTACTTTTCAAATTTTGTCACCAATGGAGCAAAATCCACGATCCTATCATCTAGTATATTTAGTTCCTTCAGGAAATCGTTTTGATGAAACGGCCCCCCTCGCAAAGCGGTACGGAGGTCAAGTAATATTTTCTGGTGAGAGGAAAAAGCAAACTTTGACATCTCTATTTTTCTTTTGTAATTTTTCGTGTCAGAAAGCGTTTTAAGAACTAAACCAGTGCCTGATATGCTTCCTAGAATGGCTGGGTTGGCCGTCAAACCACCAGCAACAGCTCCAGTTACGTTCAATCCAGTGGAGGATATATTTATAGCCAGGTTTAGTTTCCTAAAGTGTTTGAAGGCCTGTCGGTGACACCAATATTTATAATGGTAATATTTATACAACTCTTTAATTTTCTGTATCTCTTCTTTTGTTTTGCTTTTATCTATATGATTAAAGTGAAATATATTTTCCTTCTGACTCATTTATATTATTAGTTTAGACTATTTAAAGAACATAAGAACCGTTTAGTTTTTCTTTTTCTGAATGTGTAGTTACTCTGAGATGCTAAAGCTGAACTTAGCTTAGTGTTAGTATTGCGGAATGATTGCTAGTTGATGCCCTTACTGTTAGGTCACCCCCTGTACCTTCCTTAGTTAACCAAAAGACAAACCGTTTATCATTGAAACTATTTAGTATTGTGATAGAAGTTTCCTTAGTTGACCCAGCTTTCAGACAATTAGTTTGCAGTGTTAATTTCTTTGTTGTTTTGTCATAAATTAAATGTGGTTTTTCATCAGCTTCGTTCCTCATAAATGTTTTTATGTACATGGTTCTGTTCAGCCATAGTCGCATAAGAACACAAATGGTAAACCTCCTATTACCGAATAATGTTAAACTCACTGGTTTATTCTGTATCCTCAATCCTCCTTTCTCAATATTGACAATATTCACATTTGTGAAATATATGTTGGGTAGCAAGCCGTTAATTACAATACCTGATGGTTGTCCTCTATCTAAAATTTTATAGATACCAGCATTACTGAAATCATAAAATTCCTCAAATATTTTCCTATACGCATTATTTGTTGTATGAGGGCTCAATTTTGTCTCCAAATCTTTGACCATCTTTACAGTAGCTGCCGAATTATTTCGAGTTCGATCAGGAGTAATATTCAATATTTTCTTTCTGTTCATATCCAGATCAAAATTGTAAAAAAACCTATGTTGGTTTGATATCAAACACTGTATGGTAATCGTAAGTTTTTGGGGGATCAATTGATGACACTTTTCCGAAAACACCATAAGCGATGATCCAGTTTTTTGTCCAATTTGTTGGATAATTATTGAGATCAATACCCGCTTGGGGTATATTAACGTAAAGATCCAGACTGTAAAACAGATTTGATACATTTTTTTGAAAGTTTAAAATTATTTTGATATAATACATATATGCAGTGTTCCCATTGCTATTTGTATACCGGTGAGAAAACTTTTTTACCATAAAACCAGCAACGCATACCCCCTTTGACGTGGTTTTATCAATTGTAGCAACTGATTGTGCCATAATTGGTAATCTGAATTGAGGATTTCAATACAGAGAGTATAATCTTTATCCTTATCAAGTTGATAACAACTGATTCCCATTTTATAAGAGTATCTTCCTTGCTGATCTTTTATAATGGTTGTATATAGAACTTTGTGATTTTATTGATGGTAGTTACCATCTTGGAGCATAAAATTATCAATTTTAGTAATGTTAAAACCATTCGCTTGAAATCAGTCCATGCTAATCTATTAGTCATCAGGTACTTGAATTCATTACTGTAATGGCTGGGTTTAACATGAGATTTTTCCAAATACTGTTTATTAACCCCGTCAGTAGCATCAGTTGGGTTTTTCATATTTGTGGCAATCATACCAAATAGGTTAAAATATTTATTGCCTGTTTGGGAGTCAGACGGTGGAGATTGTCTCCATTTATTAGTTAGTAATTGAAATGCGCGGATTGTAGCATAAAATTTATCATTACTTAACAACCAAAGCATGTTTTGTTGTTTCATGAAATAAAATGGTCTGGCATAGCCATCATATGTTGTCCATTGTTCATAAGCTTTATGAAATATATTGTCTGTTTTATCTTCCCATTTAGCATTTTTCCAATCTATGGTTTCTTGTTGTAGATCGGGTTTATTTGTAGCATAATCTGTTATGTTTAATTTCAATCCAGTTATATAATTGTCACCCAATGCTAAATTATCAGTCATTGTATCTCCACCCTTTTTAACATACCGTCTATCACCGTAAACACGGGATACAGCATCCTTATCGGCTGTGGGATTAGCAAGATGAGTAATTTTATTATTGGACATGTTTAGTGATCCTGCCATAACTCCACTGGATTTATCAAGCACTTTATTTTCTGACCATATTTTTGTAGTTGGTTGATTATCACCATTTTGTTGTGCTACACCGTATATCCTATTATTATTCATATCCAAATTGCCGGTCATTAATCCACCAGAAAGTGATAGATTAGTATCAGCATAAGACTTACTTACCCCTTGATCACTATTGATGGGGTCTTGACATTATAGATGAACTGCTTACCCATATCCAAATACGTTTCCATTGGAAATACAGATTCTTTCCTACTGACAAACACTTCTCTAACATCCTCATAACACACTAGGGTACCTCCATTTTTACCCATTTCGTCGTAAGTTAGTCGGTTACTGTTAATAACATTGTAAGTATTCTTCAGATCAATATCCTGGTCAGTGCTATGTTACATAACTTAAGATAACTTGAGATAAGTTTTATATAACAGAATAGTATGATGGATATTGAAAGATTCCAGAGACTCAGTATTCCTAAAATTGGAGCAGAAAAAATGACTGAAGTTGTTAGGGATGTTATAAAAGAAGTTAAAACTAGAGATCAGGATGTATATGAAAAGGTGGCTAAAGACCTGAAACCTCTAGCGGAAAAATTTGATAAGGAGATAGAGGAGATCAGTAAATTGAGAAAAAGATGTTAATAAACAAGTTGTCCCATACGCCGAGCAAGTTCAAAGATTAGCATTACCAGGCCCAAGTGGTGAGGTGGCCCTTAAGATGGTAGCTGATATGAATAAGGGATTTACTCAAGAAGAATTGACATTCATACAAAACCAAGAATTGCCATTACCAGCTGATATTTTTTTGCAAACCTTAAAAGAGCCAAATTATGCGAAACAAATATTAGCTAAATCTGGTGAAATAAATAAGGAATTAAGCCGGAAAAAAGCTAATTTAAGCAAAACAAAAACTAATAGAAAGAAAAATAAGGATGAAATTGCCGAATATACTGAAGGAATTGACATCATAAAAAAATACAGACAACGAATTGGTATTTTAGAGGAAGGCGCAAAAACATTGAAAGTTGGTAAGGGTATTTATACACAAAGAAAGAGAAATGCCTATAACATTAACCCCAATACTGGTGTTTATGGAAATGTAGACATTGATGTACCCAAACCTTACGGACAACTCAAACTAATTGCTCATAAGGATGGTAAAAAAGTCTATGATAAGCAAGTGGACTTTGATACCTTTAATCTGCTCACAAAGCGGTTCAATAGTAAAAAAAGTATTCACCATTATCAAAAATGGTATTTGATGACCTGAACAGAATAAGTGATATTCCAATTCACCGAACAAGTAATAAATACATAAAAATCGGTGCAGGTGTTGTTTATTATAATAATCCAGCTGACCTACTAGACAGATTGGAATTGTTAGGTGGATCCATATTGGCTGGAAATAATGGTGTCAAAAATGAATTTTCCAAAATTGCTCACACACTAAACAAATAAGGTGTTCTAAATAACAACCAGCTTAATAGTCTGTTGAAGGAATATGCAATCTAATAATATAAATGCAAGAAAAAGCAATCCATATATCATCTGTTGATAGACAGAAAATCGGACGGAATAAAGCAGAGGATTTTATAATCAAATTCGATCCAGTGTTAAAACTCCAAAATAACATGACACATGAAATAGTCTTGGATAAGGCCACTTTGAGTTACAGTTGGCATAATATTTCAGATCAGTATCAAAATAATCAAATAAAATACTCACTTGATGGTGGCACATCATGGTAAACCTTCAAAGTCATTGATGGAATGTATACGTACTCAGATCTTAATGACTATCTCCACCAGTACATGAAAAAGAAAGGTCATCTTACCACCGACGATAAAACCGGTGACAAATACCACATTAACCTAACATTCGTATTGTCCACATACAAGATTCTTATTCAGATCGACAACAATTACCAACTGGATCGGAGAAACAGTAAATTGGGAGAGTTGATTGGATTTACAGAAAAGATTGTCAATAAAACAGAATATGGGACAGTTCTTCCCAATATCACAAATTCCACTGATATGATCTATATAAACACAGACGCCAGCATATTGAACGGTGTTAATAATAATAATAATAATAATAATAATAATAATACGTTAGCTGTTATTCCAACTGACAATTTGACAAGAACTTTCCCATTCACTTTTGAACCCAGGCGACTATTGTTTAATGAAGTTTTGCAGCTTAATATTTCACAAATGAGGTTTTACATCACAAATTCACTGGGGCGACCAATTTGACTAAATAAGCACTATGTACTAAAAACCCATGAAATTCCTGTGAATTAATTCATGGTAAATTCACGGGATTTTCAAAGGATTTTAATGGTATTTTCATGACATGTCACCCTGGAAAAAGCATGAAAAAAACATTAAAAAGCCATTAAAAACCCCTTAATCTTTCAGTTTTCATGGGCCATGACCCTTAAGTTTTGGGCAAATCCATGAAATACTCATGAAACACCATGAAAATTTCGAGTTGCTTTTCATGGCCTTTTAACGCCATGAATTACAAAGAAGGATTTTCATGGTGCTGTAGTTCATGGTCTTTTCATGAGGCCACTGAATTCATGGCCCATGAAAAACCCATGGTTATTCCATTAATGTTGAAAGATTAATTGACCATGAAAGATGTTCATAGCTTTTTGAAGGCCCATGAACCCTTGACGATTTGCAAGAAACAGTACAGTTATTTCTGCAGTAAACAAATTAAGGAATCAATCAATCTTGGCATAATATATATCAATGAAGTTTAAGCTTAATTACGCATGGTTATTAGAAAACATACCTTTCTGCAATAATCCAGCTGAGTTAACTGACTTGGATTTATACTTTATGTGAACACAAACTTCGCAATTGATCTCTTTGTCTCGAAAATAACATGGATAATAGAAAGACAATCTTATGAAAATACTCTGTCGCTTGCGAAGTCCGCGTAAATTTGAACTACTCAACGGAAGTTCATTTCACACTTGTCTATTGGTCCAAAAGCCGCACGTGACAAAGTAAATCAAATCACGTATGTGCGAAAGTCACATGGAAGCCTGGGAACAACAAACATGGCGGCTATTCGAGAACGTGCTTCAGCGTTTGGGTCGAAAGAGCGGTTATTTTCAGCGTTGATTCAAATATTCCAACGCATTTGAAGTGTTAAATGCAAGAGGTAAACTTAACATTGTTTTTTTAAGTTGTGAAAGAAAATGTTGGACTACATTATAAATCAAATTTGCGACGAAAAACGTGTTGTGGACGTTGTTCATGTTGCCCTGCATGTTGGACAAGCTCAGAGGTACGGAAAATTGATTGAACTGAAGACATCTTGAACACACCAAGACCACGCCATTGCTTAGACATGAAATCTGAGTACAACTCAGGCATGATAGAATGAGAAGGACTTAAATCATTTACATAGCTTTTTTATCAATATAAACACTCTGTACATCTAACAATAATGCAACGGTTAAGTCTGGTGTCAAATTTAGGAACAATTGTATTCATGTTCAAGTGTGATGTTATAATGTTGAAGTTGCTGCATTGATAACTGGCTGTAGAACCATAATATCATTGTATTTTACTAGACACCATCAAGGCAATTTTTAAGATTGTAACTTCAAAGACAGTTTAATTGAGCCCCGAGAGTTTTGTTAAGGTGATCACTGATCACTATTACAGACACTGGTACAGACTTTATTCTAGTCAATGCCTGTAATCAAGAGGCTTTGTTAGTCTTTGAAGCTCATATATGACTGCTTTTGTAGATTTTTTGTTAGGTATATGTGGAAACTGACAAGTGTCATTCTTTGTGAAAAAATAGCAGTTGTAAAGCATTAAAAGCAAAGAGTGTCCCTCGTGGTACAGCATGGCCAAAGATTCTGAGGTTTAATGTTGCAGTTGCTTAATGTTATACAGTATTTTTATATATTTTGGGGTGTGATTCTATCCAGGGAACTGATTTCTTAGCATTTTCGTGGCCCATGAAATCAATGTATTTGTTTTCATGGCCCAACATGGGACATATTTAATGGTATATTCATGACCCATGAAATCGAAATTATCATTTCTAATTTTTCGCGACCCCTGAAATCTCTGAGTGTAATTTTCATGGCCCATGGAATCCATAACACACCAACTTTTCATGGCTCATGAACCCTAGTGCCAGATATTTCATGGCAATTTCATGAGCCATGAAAACCATTATCAACTGTTCATAGAAAATTCATAGCCTGAAAAATAGGCCATGAAAATGAAGTATCTGTACTCAGGGCCCTAAAAAATGCTTTCCTGGGTTTTTAATGACATTTTCATGGGACTTTCATAACATTGCAGTTCATAGTGAAGACTGATTGGTTTATGACATTGATATTGCGATCTAAACCAGCATCATATCTTAGGTAATACTGTACATGAAAAACGGGTAGATATGTTAAGAAGCATATTTATAGAGAAGGTATTACCGATGTTTTCAAAACGATCGGCAGAAAGTTGTTTGGAAAGACCATGAAGGAAGCTGCTAAAACTGCGACCAAAACAGCCCTTCAGAAAGCTGCTACTAAGACTGGCGAATATGCTGGCGAAAAGGCGGGCGATAAAATTATTCAGTTATTAAGCAAAAAGAATAAAAACACAAAAACACCAGTAGCAGCATCACCAATAGCAAAACCACAATCAAGAGAGCTAAGCGATTATGAGATTAATGAGAGGGTAAATCAATTACTATCTGGAGGCCGGATGAGAAGATTTATCTAATCTATTAATATAATGAAATCTTTTAGGGATCCAAAGTATGTTGAACGATATGAAGATGTTATTTTTGACCTAGAAACAGCACTAAATACACCTGTCGCCAATGATGCTCATCAGAAGAAGGATGGCTACAGATTTGTTGTTGATAACAGTGGAGAGGTTACACCATTTGACTGGTACAATGCTCGAATCAGTATCGATGTTAAAGTAGTCTTACTGGCTAATGGTGGTGACATTGCAGTAACAGATCATAATGGAATTGTAAACCGGTCGTACTCATTCTTGAAACATTTTGATATTAAGCTAAATGGCAAGAAAGTGTATGATTGTAATGATGCAAATCACGCGGTTAATATTAAAAACTTACTCGATTACAGTCCCGCTTACGCCGATAAGACAGCTAGTAATGAGTTTTTCATCCTTGATACATCCAGAAATGCGGAGGAACGGGAATTTGAAGTTAGTGGTACAAATCAGTTAGCCAAAAGAAGAGCAGCTTACAATAAAGGTTTTGCCCTTCGAAAGCACTCCTGGGTACCTCATCTACAGTAAACACCGAAATACCACTAAACCGGTACTCATTCTTTGAAATGCTAGAAGACGAGCTGTTACCTAATACAAGAGTTGAGATGAATTTTGAGATTGAGTCACATGGTAATCTAATTTGGCAAGCTGTTAAACAGGGCGGTAGTTTGTGGGGATCATTCATCAGTTTAGGAAGCAAATTGCTACCTATGGCTATGCCCCTAGCCAAAAAAGCTATCGCACCGCTTGCAACAGGGGCGTTATCAGGATTAGCCAGTCTCGGTGTGGATAAAATATTCGGAAAGGGACAACAAGGAGGTTTTCTTATTCCAACAGACAAAATGACGCAATTGATTAATTACAAACATTTACTGACCACAGGTCAGAAAAAGGATATTCGTAATGCTCTCCAAACTGGCAACGGATTAGTTATCAGACCAACAAAAACACAGCAGGGTGCGTTTTTAGGAACTCTACTAGCGAGTATAGGAGTCCTTCTGTTGCTAAATGCATTGACAGGAAAGGGTCTCAAGCTGACAGTACTGGTTCTGCTAACAAAATGTCAGTTTATGTTCCCGATACAACTAATGGTCACGGAATGATAACCCCGTACCCTTACATGTCACCACCCTTTTTTGGAATATGGAATGACCCAGTTGGTTGGGCATTAAAAAAAAAGAAAGGGAAAGGGACTGCTGCTAGGCAACAACAGTCCATTCAATTCAATCCCAATTCTAGGAAAAATACTATAAGATTCATAAACAAACCATCATCGAATATTGATTTGTTACAATGTGTCAAACAAATAAGAATAAAATATTTCAGAGGTATTTACAGTCGCGATAATTTACCACAAAAAATACACAGATTGGAAACAGAAATAATTAATCTTGATGATTCGCCAGGGGGAGGTAGTCATTGGATTTGTTATAGAAATGTGGATAAACAATATTGTGAATATTTTGATCCGTTCGGATTAATCATGATAAATGAAATCAAAAATTACCTGAAAACAAGAGGTAAAAAAATGGTGTACTCATCAGATGAAATATAACATAGGGACAGTGTTTTATGCCGTTACTGGTGCTTATATTATCTTTTAGAGAGACAAAAGGGTAGATCATTATTAGACGTTATATACAACCCCAAATTCAGTTTCACAAATCAAATGATAAATCACCAATTTCTGATAAACTATTTTGTGTAATCCTATTATAGAGAATGTCAAAAAAGTCCTGTGTGTATTGCCAAGAAATTACTCCGCATTATGTGAATGAATATGGACGTTCTGAGTGCTGCAACTGCGAGCCCTTGAGTGAGAGTGATTATGAGTCAGATAGCAGCCATGATACTTATGTTCCAGACAGTAGTGATAGTGAATAAACGGTATTTTATCATCCCATAATTAGAAGAAACAGTTACCCCGTCATTTTGGCGGGTCAGGTCCCAGACCATTTTTATATAACGTACATATATAATAATGGTGAACTCTTATTGTGTTAAACAGAAAAAGCAAACAGAATGTGTAGAACCTTCGGGTTACAAAACTGCCAAAAATGGTAGACTTATGTTTTGGTGCACTTGTGCTGAATGCGGAATAAAAAAGTTCAAATTTGTCAAAAAGGGAAACTAATTGGGCCCTCTCAAGCAGGGGGCGATTTATTTGACACCGCTGTAGGAACCGCTACTGATCTGTTTCTCTATCACGGGCTTCCATGGATGGGTAAAAAAGCTGTTGAAATGGGAAGATATTACGGGTCAGAGGCTCTAAGAAACCCTAAATTGCAGAAAAAAAGCTATCGACTACGCTCTGGATAAATTGAATCCAGTAATACATAATGTTGGTTCTCAAGCTCTTGACCAATTATCAACCAAAATACGACCAAAGAAAAACTACAAAACAAACAGAAATGATCTTGATGGTGGTGCTTTGGATTTTTAAAATGTATTAAACCAAAAAATGGCCTCGTGAATTTCATGTGAGAACATGGAAAGGTAAAAAGTATAATTATTGCGGCCCAAATACTAGGTTAGAGGAAAGATTAGCTCGAGGTGATGAGGGAATAAATAGACTGGATCAAGTTTGCAGACAGCACGATATTGATTACAGTAATGCTTTGTCATTATCGGATAAGCATTCAGCGGATCAAAAACGATAGATGCAATTGAACAATTTCCAAATCAATCATTAACAGAAAGAGCTATTAAGAATACTATTAAATTGAAAACGAAACTCGGTCTTGGTTTGAACTAGAAAAGCCGTCGGGTATTCGTTGGCAACAACAATTAGCGGACGAAATACATAAACCAATAAAACGCAACCTTACTCGGCGGCGTGTTATAACAACCGGTATTGACAAAATTTGGTGCTCAGATCTGGTTGAAATGCAACAGTTCAGCAAATGGAACGAGGGTTACAGACATCTTCTAATGGTATTAGATCTATTCTCCAAATATGGCTGGATTGTCCCATTGAAGGACAAGAATGGGGAAACTGTCACAGAAGCATTTAAAACTATCTTCAAAGAGGGCCGTAAACCACAATATCTTTGGACTGATAAAGGAAAAGAATATTGTAACAAAAATATGAAAGAACTGTTGGAAAAGAATAACATAACACTATACTCAACCAAAAAGGGGGAAAATCTATTGTGTGTAAAAGGTGGAACCGCACAATTAGAACCAAAATGTGGAAACAGTTTACAGTCCAGGGTAATACCGTATATTTGGACATACTACCAAAAAATACTGAGTCAGTATAATAACACCAAACATAGTTCCATTAAAATGACACCTGTAGAAGCTAGTAAAAAGAAGAATGAAAGTGCCGTGTATTACAATCTGTATGGTGATATGAAGCAATTGAGCCCAAATTCAAGATTGGTGATAAGGTTAGGATAAGCAAGTACAAAAAAAAAAAAGTGTGAGGGTACACACCTAATTGGACAGAGGAAATATTCCTGATCGATAAAATCCAATCGACAAACCCAATCACATAAAGATTAAAAGATCTCAATAATGAGGAAGTACAAGGCAGCTTTTATGAGCCTGAATTACTACCAGAAAAACAGGATGTATTCCGAATTGAAAAAGTCTTTCTGAAGGATTATAAGAAGAAACAAGCTCTTGTGAAATGGTTGGGTTATAGTGACGACTTTAATTCCTGGATTCCCTTAAGCAGCTTGCAATAATTATCTAACTAACAGTATATGGACGATCATATAAGCAAGCTTGATACTAAAATCCGTAGTAAGGAAACCGAGCTTAATGCACTCTACACTAAAATCCAAAAATTGGAGGAAGAAATTGCCACATTACATCACAAGAAATTAATCTCCAAAAAACTGGAAACAGCAGAAACGTCATTAACCGGTGTCCTACAAGTGATCTTTGAAACGGAGGAGGAGGACGAAAAAGAATAAGGGAAGTTTATTTTGGACCCCCCCTTGTAAATACACCTGAAAACAATTTTATTGATACCCTAAAACGGGTTGTCAGGTCCAAGGTGCTGAAACGGCACCTCAGGCACAGCATACTTTTTAATCTATCATATATACCATTTTATTGGTCTGTGTGATAGAAAATTATGTAACCTATTATTAAATGTGTAAGTATTGCAAAGAAACAACATGTGAGCATTGTAAAAAGTATGCCATGTGTCTTGAACTACTTGATGGGCTTTTCTTTCGTGATGAATGTCTGAATAAAATCACTAGCATTAAGCGTATTGCCTAATTTTTTGTACTTTGTATTTCGATCTATTTTTTAGATCCGAATATGAAATCTTATTTATTATATACAGTATATATATGGAAGATTTTATCCGTCTTTTAGCCAAACAACAATCTCTATCAGGAGGCACTAGTTTGATATCTATGCATATTCCTCCAAATGGTAGAGTAAACTTTAGTAAACAAAAGTTAACCAATGAAATGGGCCTTGTCTCAAATATAAAGTCAAAAGTCGTACAAAAGCACACAAAAACCGCTCTAAAATCAGCCTTATAGCAACTGAACCAGCTAAAAGAACCAAGAATTTCATGCCGTGGGTTGTTACTACTAGCTGGCATCATAAAAAATACTTGTGAAGGATACAAAGGATCAGTACTCATTGAGCCTGTGCAAGCAATAGAAAAAGCTGATTATAAATGCGGTAAGAGCTTTTATTTAGATCCTATTTTAGATACTTATAAAAAGAAAATAATTGAAAATCCAATAGTCGACAAAATATTGGATATGATTGTAAAAGAAAATATAGACAGGTTAGATTTTGGACTAAAAAAATAACCAATAATCATTCTCATGTTGTATTCACAAATGAGGATAAATATCAAAACTATAAGCCAGATCCTGACTCAAAACCAAAATAATATATAGTCGCAACCTATTTCAGTATGGTGATATGATTGGGCTTAGATATTATTTATTGTCATACAACATATCCAATTTATCTTGTTTACTTGTTAAGTTAGAACTTTTTGCTTTAATTTGCAAATTACATAAACGGTTATCTTCTACGTTACCATTTATGTGAGTAATTATCTTTCCCTTTGGTATAACACTATTATGACACTCATATACAATCCTATGCACTTGCCGTCGTAGTCTCTTAGAACATCCAAAATTTCAGACACCACAAAGCATAACATCTGCCTCTTGATGTTGGCGAAAACTAATAGGCGACCCATGTTTCACATTAATTATTATTCCATCTTCTGAAGCTGCATATAATATGTAAACCGGATGAACTGCATAATAAATATAATCCACAATACTGATACCCATCTTCAATACCCATCTTCAGGTCTAATATATATCTTATCATCTGGGTAAATTTCATCCCAATACTTAATCTTCATAGGATCTCTTTTTGGGGGAGCTGGAATTGGTCTTGGTGGTTTGTATAAATTATTATTCTCAAAATAACGGATTAATTGCTTGACCCCCATCTTTCTTGGGGCGGGAATAGGGCGTCTTGCTTCTTCCCGTACTCGAGCCAAGTTTTCAAGTTCATCATCCGTAACTCCAGATAATAATCTTCTTATAAGTTCATTACGATTAGTCTTCATACTATTACTATATATTATTTTATTCCTATTTTCATTTGAACGCACTATATTCATACTATAGTAAAGCGCCATTTCTTTAAGCCGGATTCCCAAGGTCGAATTCATAGAGTGCATATATCAACCAAATATATAAAAATTCCCTTGAATCCTAACTTGTCCAATAAAAAAGTATCTATATAAACCAAATATTTAAAACTGTCCTGGCACCCCCATTTGACCAACTACTTCAAAGTTTTTCCTCACCACCGCTAAATGTTTGGTTCCGGGTGGCGGAGCACAAATCACGTTGTACCGTTCCAGAACAGCCTACTGTCTGCTCATTCAAAAGGGGTCCGTAAGGGCACATTAATTTATGACTCTGCGCGGCCTGAAGAAAATTATACACGCAGACGTTTTCTGAGCGACGAAGGTGCAGCCTTTACGCTTCTTTTTCTTTTCGAAAATGGCCACGGACTTCTCTCCTCGCTCCTCGCTGCTAGGTGGTCGTTTTTGCCTGAGGGGATACCACCACGAAGGAGTTTAGCAAACAGGTCACTACAGGTGCAAACCTAGCGAAAAGGGCATTCTCCAACTGAAATTTGAAATCGATATGAAAGGCTATTTTCAGCCTTTTATCTCTTTTTCGCGCAACGTATTTGGTTAAAAGATGATAAGTAAAATGGTTGAGGCATTTTAAAGTATTTTCTCATTTTGGCGACGGATTTTGACGTTATGAAAAAGAACTTGTTAGTGAATTAGTTTATTTTTTAGCCATACGAAAGAGTGCCGGGCCGGGGGGGGGGGTGGTGGGGGAGAGAGCCTGGGCCCGGTTGCATAAAACGTCCGTAACAACTACGGGTACACGTACGTGCACTCGTAACTTAAGTCAGTTGCATGAAATCACTTAAGTGGTCCACTTAGGGAATTCACTTAAGTGGTTGCACTTACGATTTTCGTAAGTGTTCACTTAAGAGTCGTTTATGCAACAGAAATTGCGGGTATTGCATAAAACTTTTTTTACGGGAAAAATAGCACGTAAATTTACGGGACCTATGTAGGTCCTGTATCGTCACTGTTTTTACTAAATTTAACGAGATCTTTTACTGAGAAGTGAAAAAAAGTATTTTTCTTCACGTAATTCGTTCTAATGCGCTTTGTTAACCTCTGATGTACACTTTTGTGAAAAAAGAAGAAGAACTATCATTTTCGGTAGATATTGGAGAAAAATGTTTGCATGCAAATTTCATTTTTTGAGAGGCTTAAAAGTGTTCGAAACGACTTTTAACTTTCTTTACACTCACCGATGGTTAGCTTAAAAAAAAAAAAAAGGAGTGAA